CTCATCTTGAAAACTGTGCAATATTTTTGCATTTTGCCGTTAGATTCGCTCTTTTAAGAAACCGAGATGATAACTTCCCGCCTTGTTGATGGCTGCCATATTGAGAATAGTGCAATACTTTTGCATTCCGATGTCAGATTCCTTCTCTTCGTGCCAAAAAGCTCTTAACACCAAGTTTGATCCAAGTCGGCCGGTTAACAACCAAGATTAGTGTGTCTCCTGTCAGAAAAAAAAACGAAAAACACCCAGAAATTTGATGTCATCAGGAAAATATCACGAAAATCGGTCACGGATCAGGAAACTCCAAATTTAACCTACATGCAGTGTACCATACACAAAAGTAAAACATTTGATTCCATTCACCAAAGAATTTAGTCCGTGAGGTCAAACGAGTGTCAATTTACTCGCGGTCTCAATCTAGAAAATTTTATTTAAAATTCCAGGAAAAGTAAGGAATACATAATAAATCTGCAATGAAATAGTCGACATCTCGTAAAATTCTTTTCATATATTTTTCTTTTAAATTAAAAGAAAATAAGTAAACACGGTCTAAGTTTCTGAGTCGATGCAATTTAGATGCATATTTTTTCTTAAATTATGATTAAAACGGGGCTGATAGGCAAAAATAGTGACCGTAATTATCTCAGATTGTAACGTTGTACACCGCCTCTCATGTTCGATTATAAATTCATTTCTCTTAAAAGCTACACACTGGCATCTGAAAAGCTTCCAGGAATATACCTAAACGATTTCAAACAAAATCACAGAATATTTCGATACAAAATTTTCATTCGTCTCTTCTTCTTTTTTCTTTTCTTTTCTTTTCTTTTCTTTTTTAACTGAAAAAATAAAATACAATCCGAGTTTCTGAATGGTTGCGATCAAGATACTTACATAATATGCTTTCAACTTTTGTGAAAACGGGGCAGAAAGTCAAGAATGACGGGGCGTAGCGGAGTCTCAATTGGATTACATTTTGCAATGAAGAGCCACTATTCTGGCTCAATTTAGAAACAACATATAAGCCCTTCATTTCCCCATGAAGATACGTGCTTTTATGGAAGAACCAGAGATAGTGGTTCCTTATTGCAAAATGTAATCCGATTTTGCGGCGACAATAAATGTCGCGCCAGCCAGGAAAGAGAGGAAGTTAAGGAAGAAAAGGAAACGCGGTCGAATCATCTGCGCAGTGTCACGCGCCTTCAATCCGGCTAGCGGCAACATGGGTACACCCGTGCTCGAATAGTTATCTCGTTGCGCCAGCCGTGAATGAATTCGAATATTTAACGCTCACGCGAAAAAAAGCGTATTTATCTCCCATTGCACGTTGCACATCTTTACTTCTGTTTAATTTGTAAAGACATTTTTTTGAAAAGCACTCACAGGTTTTCTGAAAAGTTTCCTGGGATTTTCTTGATGGTTTTCAGTAAAATCACGGAGAATATCGACGCGAGATTTCCGTTCGTTTTATATCTGTTCTTTTCTTTTTTTCTGGAAATAATAAAACACTGTCCGAGTTTTTGAATCGTTGTTAATTGAATCAGTGAGTTCGAAAACGCACCAACTCGGAAAAAAAATTGTTCAGGAAACACCTAAAACTGCGCAGCGGGCGAGGAAGATAGTTCAAGGAAAAGCTTTTTGGTCCCAAAGGACAAGTATTTAGAGACTTTGTAAAGCACCAAGTTGAAATCGATACACCATATTTGATCGTAGAGAATTAAGCGTTTCAAAATTTGATATGGCCAAAAATTGGTATTTCAATGAAATACTTCAATTTTTCCCTTTTCCCGTCGCTGTCTCGAGCACTACCGATTGCAATTTCGAAATTTCCTTTTGCGTGCAGATGCTTCTATCCATAAGTGTTACTAAACCGTAAAAAAGTGAAAATCGAAAAAAACCCGAGTTGGTGTGTTTCCGAACTCACTGATTCAATTAAGATGCGCATTGCGGGGCTCTATACCGTCAGTAAAAACCGGAAAATGTCGGGATATCATGGATCAGAAAATTCTAAGTCTGTCGCATGCAAGCATTTTTAATCATATGCAGTTGAGCACGTTCAAAAGTGAGACTATTTATTCAGTTCACCATAAATGTCAGTTTGTGAAGTCAAACTAGTGTCTATTCATTCGTAGCCAAATTCAGGAAATTGTCTATAAATTTTATGAAAAATCAAGAAAATATGAGGAGAATGCCGAATGCGCAATGTAGTCAACATCTTGCGAGATACCAATTTCCCGCCATCATGACGGCCGCCATTTTGAAACCGTAATTCATGGGAACCTACTCCAGTCATCGCCATAGAGTACATAGAGTCGGAATGTAAGAGGGTGAGCTGGCGCCACTTTTAAGCATTTTTCAGGTCCCGAAATCAAGACTCCTGTGTGACGCCGGGTCACTTTTTCGATACATAATCGATTGTTTGCGATACACGGGTACCCGGCCATCCGATGTAAACAAAGAAGATAGGGATCACCACGTATTCCGCAACGCCATCTTGGATCGAACTTGTATCGAAAAAGTGACCCGAACTCGGCGCACACCGGGCTCGGAACTCGTCGAGCAGAACATGGCGCCAGCTCTCCCATTTACATTACGACTCTATGTACTCTATGGTCATCGCAAAAAGTTAACCATTGTTATGTTCTTTCTAATTCAACAATGAAAAAGAAAGTAGCTTGGATCTAGAGTCCAGACACTTGAAAACATTAACAAGAAAAAATACTCTTGTCAATCTGATTTTTGCTCAGATCAGAAGGGAATCCGCTCAAATGAAGAGGCTTGGTTCTTGATTACAGCAAAAATCCGATTGAATCGAGAGTATGTTTCCTCGTTTATGTTTTTAAGAGTCTGGACTCTAGATCCAAGCGGTTTTTTTCCAGTGCGCTGGAAAAAAAAACACATTGGATCTAGAGTCGAGACTCTAGAAAACATTGACAAGAAAAAGGACTCTTGATTCAATCAGATTTAAGCTTAAATCAAAAGGAAATCCGCTCAAATTAAGAGGCTTGGTCCTTGATTTAAGCTTAAATCTGATTGATAGAATCAAGAGTATTTTTTCTTGTCGATGTTTTTAAGAGTCTGGACTCTAGATCCAATGTGTTTTTTTTGCCAGTATGAAGGTATCGCACGATGTAGGTTTCGATTCGAATGTCGCCCCTTACCCCTAGCCCTTGGAAGGGAGAGCGAGAGGTCATGACCCCCTTCCCTCTCGCAAAAGTTTACCTAAAGTGCTTTTGTTGAAAGAAATACTTTCCAAATAGCATGTCAACATGTTCAATCGTTGTCGAGATATTAACATATATGGATGTATTTCTACCGATCAGAACTACGTGCGGGAGGAAAATATGGGGTGTCCTCGTTAGTTCTCGGGCGGTAAGAATGAATGGAAATTAAAAAGCGCCAGTGACGTCAGCGGCGACGACGAGAGCGAAAAGTAAATGGACTAAAGTACAAAGAAATCGCATCTTCGTCGCAACGTTTAAAAAACTCCGATTATATTTTTTTTTCTTTGGAATAAGATGAACCGAAACATACGAAGGCCTGGCCCAGCGAGTGAATAATGGACATGAACGCCGCGCGCCGCTAGTAATAGGTACCTTAGAAGAAATAATACTGGAGGGCCATCGAGTAATAAGCATTTCGCAACTTTTCAAAATCAGCGAATTCCTGAGAATAAATAAAAACACAGAACAGCAGATCTGCTGTTGTATGAGCTGTTGGCGGGAAATGCTGAGGAGCGCGCGGTGTGCGTAAGGCGCGCCGAACTAAATGAAGGGGCCAGAACGAGATACGCACCTCTGCACTTGAGCCCGAGGTACGCGAAAAAAGTTCCACTGTTTTAGGGGACCTCCCGATTTTTTTCGATTATAGCCTCGCCCTAGCAGATAGACGACATCTTGAACAACACGTTCATGCAGCTAACTCAAAATTGTTGAAAATCGAGATACGCACTTCTGCGCTTTCACCGTCGAAATGGATAACAAGTAGCAAAAAGGAACCATCGCGATTACGTTTTTTTTTTTTTTCAAAATTGTGCAACTTAATTCTTCTTTTCTTTTAAAAATCTTAATATGTGTGTACAGTTTTAAAATTTACACGATTATTTTCCTTTCATATCAAAAATTTTTTGGTCGAAAGCTAAAACTATTCGCCACTCTGGGAATTTTTTTTAGATAATTATGAAGAAGCAACATTTTCACAACGCTGTATAAGTGCTAGACCCTTCTTGCTGATTGCGATAATACTATTATGTATAAATAATATGAATAAGTAATACTATTACCTCCACATGAAATAATCAATACTTAATTTTTCTGAAAATCTCTTCCCAAGTTCAAACACTGGTCTCTTGCTTTACGTACCCGCTCGCATTCTTGCACCCACCAAGCAATAATATCCATCTTACTACACCGTCGTCCTGAGGGAAAATGCCGTATGAACATTCGAGAGTTGCCAAATTTCCCAAAGTAAAATGTCAAAGTTTGAGGAGGGTTATGGATATTAGTTATTATATTTATTAGTTATTATATTTATTAGTTATTATATTTATTAGTTATATTAGGTATTAGTTATATGATATTTCTTATTGGTTATCCAGAATATTTTCTCTTGAAATTTTAAGATAATTTAGATCTGATGGTGAATGAAATTCTCTGCAAAATCGGAGGAAAAATATTCACAAATTTTCCTGAATATATTTGTTTTATCACAGGAAATTTGTCAACGTCTAAAGGCTCATACGGCGTTCTTCCTTTAGCACGGCAGTACAGTCCCTCCCTCCTCGCATAGCGCTGAGCTCAATAAGTTTCACCGGTTGCTTAAATTCAAAGTGAAGGAACTTTATAGGGAACGCGTTGTCGCGTAGCGTAGCACGTCGCGTCGATAGCGTCGATCGCAAGTTCAGTTTGTTCGCAATAGGTGTCGCCTCTGTTCCTCCTCGAGCATCAACAGGATAGCAGCGCGATGGCATCTCTTCTCAGCTCCGTGCTCATTATCAGTTCGTGATTTGATTTTCATCAGGTCGCCGTGTCACTTTCGGAGTTTTTCGCGTACTGATTTCATTTTCACTGTGTGTGCTGATTCTTGGATTATTCATATTATCAACACTCTTACTGCTACCCTTATTCACTCTCCCCCGCATCGTTTCTGTGAAATGATTTCCGGCTCGGGATTTTAAAAAAAAAAATATCGTGTGGTGTCTAGGGTGTATTCGTAGTCGCTCACTCTATTTACATTATTGGTGTTATCTTTTCCTAAACTCGTAATTTTCTGAACTGTAATATTCTTATCGAATTGGCCTTAAGTCTTGCAGATAGCTCTGCTTCCCTTACTTACATTTTTCTGTTTGGATTTGCTTACCGTGTTATTTATTTATTAGTGCCTCGGGTGTTTGTGTATTTTATAGGTTAACAACCAATTTAGGTAGCTATCTTCTGTGCTCATAGGCTTTAGATAAGCCTTTAAAGCAATACCTCCTTATTTTACAATATCACATAATTCCACAATTTTTCGGGTGTAAAACTCGTGCCATAATATTTGATGTTCGGATATCGCACGCTTTAAGTGAATTCAACATGTGGATAAACCACCTGTCTGGAGAGTGTCTGCGCCTTCCGATCTCTTCTGCCCGTAAAGTTTTGAGCTGTAAGTATGCTTTTCACCGTTTTTAATAGAATTATTTGAAAACCTCTGAAATCATTCGCTTTTGGAATGTTCGTTGTCTGTGTCTTAGCAGACAATTACTTACTAGGCAGAAAATACACCCAGACGGCTTTATCCAAAATTTATACCATTAGAAACTCAGGGTTAATAAGACGAATAGCTTATGTACTCACCTACCGTTAGTAAGCAGAATGAAATGCATAAGCCTGCTGACAACTGCATTCTTTAAATCACTTGCTTCTATCATCATTGATGATGCTCAAGTATTCATGACTCGTCAGGATTTGGCTGAACTCTCGGTTTATAGTGAAAAATTCATCGTGAATTTTGTGAATGAGTCTGACATTGATTTAGTACGCTTGATATTTTTAGTAATGTATACAAACCTGCATTTGTGTTCATTAGGCAAGAATGGTTCTAAAAATGTCACAAAGATTACCAGCGTATTTAGCGCATAAATTATTTTCTTAAAAGCCAGTGCGAATGATTTTATTTATTTGCCACCATTTTTGTGGTTTTGAATCAGAATTTTATGAAGAATCTGTAGTTAGTGATAAAGACAGCGCATGATGATGCAAGATTGCAAAGTTGCTGGTTTGATCAATGAAGCTATGAACTTCTCTGTCCATCTGTGAAACATATACTTAATCCGTTGAACTAGGGCGTTGAGCACAATGTATGAGCTTTTATATTTGAAGTGCCTGGTTTCTGGCTCAATTGTAGTCACTTCATAGGAAAAGTTATGATATTATTGGAGCAAAAATTCAACGATATTGAAGAAGCACCATAATTTCTTTGCAATGAATCTGCAAATAAAAAGGCCTTTTCCCCGACCTCTTGACATATGAAAAGAGGTGTGAATGCAAGGCGGATGAACATCTGATTAGACAACGCACGAAGAAAACCGTAGTAATCCAACGACAACAAACATGAGGAAATGAGTGAGCAAAGTTGAAGGAAATGTAAGAATGTTTGGGGGTGGTGTCAACCCCCTTGTCAAACAGAAAATAAGAAACAAACATTTGGTGTCAAATAATTGATATGGTCAAAGCATTTGCAGGGTTCAGTGAATCAAATAATGCTATCTGAATCATTGGTTTAGGCAAAAGAATCACTGTTGTGCACCACTGCACATGTGTTTTTGCACTTCACATCTTCTTCTTGCTCAGTGTGTACTCTTAATTTGTCCGTACAGCGCCAAAACCCTGAAGCCACCGCATGCCTTGCGAACCTAGTCTAAAGGAGAGTTCTCATCAGCATGCAGAAAAAATGTCAATGTCCAATTTTTCATCATAAAGCTTAAGTTACATCAGCAGGTTTCAGTGAGATTAGATAGGTACCCTGTACTTACTGACCCTACTGCCCCTTGGCACCAACAATGTCACGTATGGACACAAAACACCCCATTGATTAAGTGTGGATGAGCTACAAGATATGAAAACAAGTAGCATTATCAGCAAACATTTCAGCTTTAAAAATGCATAAATTTGGTGATAGGAGGCGAAGGGTCAAAGTCAGGAAGTCCCGAAAAAAAACTTTAACAATTATAATCATAGAATAAAATCACATGGAAATGGAAAAAAATGTCTAAGTACACAAAAATTGACAAGCAAATTCCGAATATTACATGCCTATCTGAAGATGCAGTATTTTCAATACCCAGCTCATCCAATGCCCAGATACTTAAAGATAAGGCATGAAACCGTGCAGTTTCTCTTTGGTGAAATTGCCTGTGTTAGGGTAACCTGGAACCACCAAATTTTGATTCCCAACGTCGTTGACACCAGAAGTATTACGTAACTCGATCGAAGTGTTTCCTAATCTCCGTTCATATCTTGTCCATTCAAAAGGCACAACGAGTTCGAATATCGTATATCAGAATACAGCGTTGCCATCGATCCTTTTCCATGGGTTTAAACGACAGATCAATCGATATGCCGCAGGCAAATAGTAAAATCAGGCATTTTGTCAAATGCCTAGGCAAATAGTCAAATATTCTAACTTAGAGCGAAATTTTAATTCTTTTCCGAATTTCAGACAAAATAATTCTTTGCTCCTGCAAGAAAAAATTTTCAATAAAAATTTGCACACACACACACACTAGTATTTTAAACAATTTTTAGCTCCTGAAGAGTCACTGATCTTGAAATTTTCAGCATGTCGTAAAATACAGAATTCTCGGAATTTCAACATTTAAAAATAAGAGAGGCAATTGAAGAGGAAAAGACAATAAGAGTTCGTAGGTTTGATGAGTTATTTTTCCAAAAATAGTGAAAAATCGTGAGCTCTTCGCCATAAATACACAAAATTTTGTAGACCGTCAAAATTTGACTATACGCCTAGGCATTTGAGAAAATGCCTGATTTCACTATTTGCCTGCGACAGATACATCGCAAAGCACGCCACGCCACCGACGTCTTTCCTCCGGAAAACGGTATTTTTCTCGTATTTTGAGGACGCTCGCCAGAGAACTCCTCACAGGGATCGTTGCTATCACCCCGCGAATCATTTGTTCTCAAGAGGGAATAGGTCCATTCCTTCTACGAGTCTTCGGTGGCATGCCGTTTTATGCAAACCAAGGCTCATGCAAAAATGGACTTGTTCTCTTTTGAAAACAGCTTATTCATTCGTCTAGAAACGAGCGAGCGTCGCGCGTGTCAATATCTAAACACCTTTCCGCTCGGAGAAACCCGTTTTACATTCGTGCGTGATGCGCCTTCAATATTGATTGACGGCAATCCGACCAGCACAGGTGTTCGAATAGTTATCTCATGAACGCCTTGCAGTTTTGCTCGAAACGCGCCCATAGGCAATAAGAAAAGGATGCCGTCGCTGCCAGGATAATCTGGGTGGTTGCATTCAGAAACAGCCCGGCTGCATTTTCAAGTCACCCAATTTCTTCTCGCTTCCTCTTTCAAAAATTAGCATCTAGCAATATAACGTCTTGTAACTTCGCCCCATAAATATTACGAAGCATAATACAATTGAAAAATATCGATGTCAAATGCTGCTTGGTGTTCCGACGCTAAAATAAACATGAGAGGTAATGGAGATGTTGCATGTGTGAGGATGTTGCGATTTGACTGTTGATTCTTGTGTAAAAGTTCGCGAGAAACACGATGGTGCCACTGGTTTTCTCTGAAATCAACTCCCAAGCTCAAAAAAAAAGCTCTCAAAGTGAGGCCAAAATGGAGGGGATATCCCACCCTACCCTATGAGTCCACCTCTACATCAAGACAAACTCTCCATGCAAAGATAGGGAGCAAATACATTAGCAGGGTTGCCGTGTTTTCAGTTATGGAGTTCCCAAATAAAGTGGCAGCCCTGTCAATGTATTTGCTCCCTATCTTTGCATGGAGAGTTTGTCTTGATGTAGAGGTGGACTCATAGGGTAGGGTGGGATATCCCCTCCATTTTGGCCTCAACTTGAGAGCTTTTTTTGAGCTTGGGAGTTGATTTCAGAGAAAACCAGTGGCACCATCGTGTTTTTCGCGAACTTTTACGTTAGAATCAACAGTCAAATCGCAAATCCCTCACACATGCAACATCTCCATTATAAGGCTGACTGTAGCTAAGCAAAGCTGTCCATTTATGTACGAAGATAACATCACAGATACCGCAGGTTTATAGCCCTAAGGAGGCAATGCTCTCAAATGCTGGTTTCCAATGAAATTTTAACATATCTAGAATCCAAATAAGACATCCGTTTTCTTCCATCACGTATCGATCGCACTGGCTCCTCTTTCACCATTCTCTGGAAAATCAAATTTTCCACGCACAAACACGGTTTTCCTACCTAGAAAACCTTGGTTTTCAGGAAAATCCTTACGCAGTTTGCAAGTAAGGATTAAATGGACCGAGTTTATCAGAAAAGAACCAACCCGCATTTTCGCAAAAATGGAGTTAAGAATGTTTTCGAATTCCACTAGTCATACATTTTCTCCTGCAAAAAACTTAAAGTCGAAAAACAGAAATTAGTGTGTTAAGTAAAAGATGGGTGTTAAAGTTTACTTTCTACATTCAGCCTCACGTAGGAATAAAACTTCAAACCCCTTTTTCTCAGTTTCAAACTATGGGTTGGTTCCTTTCTGATGAATTCGGTACAAGTATCAGTCCATTACATATCTCTAAATTATTACCCTCTTAAATCCTTGCCCCATCTAAAAACCAAATTTTTATCTGTGTAACGGAGAATGTGCATGCAAAGTTTGTATTGCTTCATCTGAAAGTTTGTAAAGAGCTAATTTCACAGTGTTGTTTACAATGTTTTTCTGATATAAGAAATAGTATAAAAATCGATTTTAAAGTGAGAAAATGCACCGCGTAGTGACGTCATTTGGCGGCATTTCCCATTTAAACACGTGTATTTTAGCAGATTAGATAATTTTGTTATATCTTCTCCCATAATTGTTCAATTCATGAACCAAGGGTATCCTCGTGTTCAGTCTACTCAGTAATTTCCACTTAAACACGAAATTCATCAAATTTCAGACACAGACCTGCAAATTCTCAATTTCCGTCGTCTTAAGTCAATTATACGTGGAGCAACGATTTACTTGAGTGCAGGTAGAAAGATTCTGAACTGTGCTAGAGTAAGTATATTAAGAGAGTATGGCCACTGAGCCCCATGGAGAGGCGAAGGACCCAAAAATGGCGGTGCTTTGTTTTGGTTTTAGAGGATGGGAGGGGGTCATTGCCAACTTTTGACGGCTATCACAAACCGCACTTGCTGCCAACCTTACTACATCTAAGATAATTTTTCTCTAAAATTGCACACGATTAGTCGTAAAAATATGTAAAGAAGCCGCAATAGTGCATTTGGGTAAATTTCTCGTTACGACAAGCAAAGAAAACTACATGTTGAGTCATTTTGCATTACATTACCTTATGGCGTCCGCCATTTTTGGGTCCTAAGGGCTGCATTCAGCCTAAGATGGCTGAGCCAATTAGAGGTGGTAACACCAGTGGCCATACTCTCTTAATATAGGTACTCAAAACTTGGCGGGCAACTCTAAGCGATGACATACGATGACTCAACGATTGAGTCGACTCGTTTCTCTATCGCGGCAATTTCGTCGATCTAGTAATCGACTTTCTCTCCGGTGCCGATGCGATGGCGAATCGAATCGTCGACGGACGAACAACGGAGGAGATTGTGCAAGAATCAAGAATCCCTTTCTTTTTTGCCTCCTCCTCCTTGGCGAGGACCCGCGCTTGTTTGTATCATCTGTCATTGTTTGTTTTTCCTCGCCTTTTCGGTCCCGCAATTAGTCTTCCCGGGCTGCCAATTCGCCCTCCAAATGGGTTAGTTATCGCACAAGTCATGGAGTCACCATCAGTTTTCGAAACTCACAGGCGCCAAAAAGTGTGTTGCTAAATTACTTTCGCTGCCCAACAAAAATGGCCGAATCTCAGCAGGATTGACGTCATTTCAACGACGACGTCAGCTCAACAGACGGGAGAAAATCGAGGTGCCGTTGTTGAATTCCCGTTGGATTCTGCGGATTTGGGGGTTAAGTTTTGTTGAAATTTAAGATTTTTAACATTTAAATCTTCTTAACACCCACATGATTAGGACATTGACGCGGCACAACAATTATAGGCAATTGCAAGTCCGTCTGGTGAAGGGTGAAGAACATATGGCGAAAAAGTGGCGGATATATTGATGTAAACACTAACATAACAACAATCCAGCGAACTCGGCCGCAGTCCGCAGCTGCCAGAAACCTCGCTGAGCAGCCATCTCGGAAAACGGGTACATCCACCGGAATTCACCTACGCTTTCGTTGAGCTCAACGCTCAACGGGTAATTTTTGCTGTGCAGTTGTGGACTTTAACAACGCATCTACATGCGCCTAAAAATCGCTCATGGCGCCTAACAAATGAAGGCTCTGCGCCAACGTGGCCCCAAAAAAGTGCCCCCCCCCCCATCCTTATTTTTCTATTGGGCTCGAGCTGTAAATGTATCCCTCAGTCCGACAACACTGTCTCCGACGAGAGAGTAAAATGAGGTTTGCTCGTCGCATAACACGACTTGCACCTTTAATTGGTTAATTGCCGTGGTTGCGCCGTTAATTTTCCCACCTTCTGCTTTCTCACCCGTCGCACTGTCTCATTTTCTGCTCTTATTTGTTGTTTTCCGCTCTGCCGGACACTCGCCCCAACGGTAATTTTTTCGTTACGTTGAGTGCCGAAATCCGTCGATTCTAAAATTCGCTACAGTCACAAGAAAAGCGTCGGTTCATACAGCTCACCAGACTTTTTCGCGTCAGTTATTACGGAACCTCCCGGTCATAGAATCACTGAGACCCAACTTGGATTCTGCTAACGAAAGATTCTGGTAGCCCTCCAGAGATTTGCTCTTTCGAAGCTTTCGGTCATCCGAACTGCCAAGTTCAGTTCTATGACTGGAAAATTAAGCCACCTAACCATGAATCAAAAACTTTTTTTTTTTTTTTTTTTACTTAGGTAAAACGCGTTTTTCTCGAAGCCGTATTATCTTAGCAAGGCGTCGGAGTAAGATGCTTTTCTGACGGAATCAGGTATATTTTTTATGTTATTTTATTATTCTCATTTTAATGATTTTATTTTTTCTTGCAGCGGGCCAGTGAAGTTGAGAGGAGATGTTCGTGGAACAACCTCCATCTTTGTTGGGGACGATGAGCTCTCTGGGCGGCTCCCAGCGGCGAACCCGCGCCTTAGCCGACATCGTTCCATCTTGCGCTAGTTTAAAGGTAAGCACCATTATTACAACTATTGCACTTCTGTTCACAATGCCCAATTCGTATCATCACATTTTCCAAGAATTTAGGACTTCAAATAGTTCTGAACCACGTGACCCACCGGTTGAGACAACATCGTGCACGTTAACAACTTTTTTTCTTCTTCTTTTTCTCTCTTTTTATAAGGAGCACTGGAAAAAAAACACATTGGATCTAGAGTCCAGACTCTTGAAAACATTGACAAGAAAAAATACTCTTGATTCAATCGGATTTTTGCTTGAATCAAATTGAGATCCGCTTAAATTAAGAGGCTTGGTTCTTGATTTAAGCTAGATTCTAATTGAATCAAGATTACTTTTTCTTGTCGATGTTTTTAAGAGTCTGGACTCTAGATCCAATGTGTTTTTTTTCCAGTGAGGGGCAATACTCTTCTCGAAAAATTGTCGAGGAGCCATTTCCGAAAGTTCCTCAAAATTCCACCACTCTTGGCTAGTTTATTCTTGAAAAATGGAAAATCGATCGGACATATTCGAGTTCTCGGAATTGAGTGCAAAGTAGTTCTCCTCCCCTCCTCCAATGAAGCTCCTTACACAAGTTGATTAAAGTTGCGAAAGAGCGGTAGTTGGAGCTTCCGTAAAGTGCAGTCGTTAAAGCTCCAGGCTCTCCTCGAATCGTCGTTTCCTCGGCGCAAGGAGGTAACTCCTTCTCGAGATGAGCCCCGCCGGGCGTATGATCCCATGTTTTTCAGGGTCCATGTCGAAATGGGGTTACGAGTTTACATTGGAATGACGACGAAATACCCGCACTGACAACGTGGAATCGAGAAAACCTGTCAAAGGAAATATTTCCAGTGCTCGGCTCGTAGCTTTTAATTTGAATTCCTCCCGGCAGCAGTTTATACTGCCGTCCTAAGGGAAAACGCCGTATGAGCCGCCAGGCGTTGCCAAATTACCTTCGATAAAATACGGATTTTGGAGGACACTTTTACTTTCCTCAAAAATTAATTTTCTATAAGAGGGAATTTGGCGACTCCTCAAGGAAAGGAAGGCTCACTCGGCGTTTTTCCGTAGCACGGCAGTGCTGCTGTGCTCTGTCGATCGACAATCGACGGTGAAACTACCAAACCACGTATCTCGTTTGCGGTGTTTAAAAATCTACGCTCGCATTTTATTTTTTTGAAGTAGACCAAATCAATATCATTCCTTGAAATTTTCACAGAATTTTCTCCGCACGAAGAGGAAAAATCACAGAAATTTTCAAGACTGGACGTTAAGTAGTTTTTCATTTAAAAAATAAAGTATGACAGGAAGTCTGCGACGTCGCAAACCGAGATACGTGGTTTGGTAGTTTCACCGTCGCAATGCTCACGGTAGCAGGCGATCCAGGTAGGTAAAGTTGTAAACAGTCGAAGAATCGTCAAGGAATTTGCCGAAGCTACTTTAATGGGACCGAGTTTAACAGAAAGGAACCGAGCCACATCAGCTATAGCCAAGTTTAACTGGGCATTTACTTTTTTACAAAAGAAGGTTTGTGCGGATTCCTTTGAAAATTTCATGGAATTTGCTTCGTACCATGCAGAAAATTCAATGAAATTTGCAAAAATATTTGCACAATCGTTTTCATAGAAAAAATTAAATTGTCCAGTTAAATTTGACAAAAGCTGATGTGGCTTGGTTCCTTTCTGCTTAACGCGGTTCAATTTTGAGTGTGTCGGGTACTCTGGGAAGCTAGGCCAGCTAAAACCCTACGAAAATGAAGCTTCGCGCCTGCTTGCCTCGAACTTGGCCGAAATGATCAAGCGTTTAAACTGATCGGTCAGTTTAATGACAGAGTTTTACATCGATTCGCATTGACTCAATTAAGTCGGAACTGAGATTGTTCGCCTCGCACTCTCCCTGAAAATTACGGCATGTACATGCTAAAATTTTCCATCTGAGAAAGTCGGAAAAACTCGAATCATCCCCCTCCCCTCACGCTCAGAAAATATCTCTTATGAAATATTTCCTATAGCCCATCAATAAGTCCTTTTTTTCATTTTCAATCAGCGTGTACGTTTTGCCTTCTCTGCAAAACTCGCAGAGAGAACGAGATAGTTCGGAACGGTGATTCTACGCTGGAAAAAAAAAAAAAAAAAACACATTGGATTTAGAGTCCTGACTCTTGAAAACATTGACAAGAAAAAGGACTCATGATTCAATCAGATTTAAGCTTAAATCGAAAGGAAACCCGCTCAAATTAGGAGGCTTGGTTCTTGATCTAAGCTTAAATCTGATTGAATCAAGAGTATTTTCTCTTGTCGATGTTTTTAAGAGTCTGGACTCTAGACCCAATGTGTTTTTTTTCCAGTGTGCAGGGTAGGTGAATCCTTAAAAAATAAAACATTCTTCTCAGATTTAGAGACGTCATTTTGGAGAGAGAGAGGGATAGTTCTCCCGTCCCGTCCCTGTACCGTACATCTGACTCTCTAGATTTCTAGTCAATATCAATCAATTTGAGATCATTTTCGAAGATTTTCTGGAGCTTCACCCCCTCAATGCGTCAGTTGCTCTGGTTACGGAATCGTGTTTTTATGATAGATTCTTTTCGATTAGCAAAAATTAACTTTTTAGTTTTTGCTAATCTATGAGAATCAAGCACCTTCACCATCTAAACAGCAACTTTCTACGTTGAAAATTAACCGAGATATCGCAGTTTGAAAAATTCGGTTTAATACCTCATCCACCGCGGTAGTGACACCCTTGGTTTCTTCCACCTTGCTTTCATCAGTCAGTGAAACACCTATTCGCACTGGTTACTCGACGTGAAACTCGGATGAAAGAAAGGTGGAAGGAACCAAGGGTGTCACTACCGGGGTGGATGACGTCATAAACCCGACTTTCCAAAGTGCGATATCTCGGTCAATATGGAACATGGAGAGTTGCTGTTTGTACATATCTTATTATTTTTAGCTAATCTACAAGAATCAAGCATCAAAACACGCTTCTGTGATCAACGCAACTGACCAATTTGTCATCTTTCTAATTCTTCAGTTCATTCTCTAAAACTTGGCTGAAAAGACGCTTTTGCTTCGAGTCCTTTTACATTCAGAGTAAAGACAATGCGAATCCATTTCTGATTTGTTCCCGTATTTCAGGCCTTCAAAGTGTCACAAACGGGAGTAAAGATTACATTTTCATCAATCACAAAGATTATAAATTGGAATGAACCGAGGAATTAGGGGTACGGCAAGGAACACATGGAATGAGAGAGGATACGGAGATAGTAATTCGGGAATGGGTTGATCAAAGATTACAAAGAACATCGGATTTGTGTAATCTTTATTCCCGTTTGTGACATGCAATAGCCGCGTTTTCTCAACTCTCTCTATAAAGGGACTCTACTTTTGCTTAGACCCTTGTCCACTCCTTAAAAATCTTGATCGCAATCCGTGCTTTCATCCCAAGCTGACTCTCAAGTTGGCGAGAGCAAGGAGCCCGAGAGAAGGGGAGAGGTTAACCAATAAGCAGACGGCTTTCCAGGCTCCTTATCTTTACGAGGAGAAATCAAGTTTTCTTTCCCCTGGGTCGACCCGCCGCCGGGAGGAACCGTATACCACGCTCCGGTGATCCTCGTTTCTGTTCTTTATTAGTTCAACAGGTGTTTTCTTTATTTTTACTTGATCGCCGCGAGCGTTTACCCGTTGCATCCTCTATTTTCGCGCTTTCCTCCACTCCGCTCGAGGACCGGTCGGTTTTCACCGTGATTTCTCCTCTTTGTCCATCATCATCTAGTCGGCCGTGCTGAGGAAAAACAACGTATCCCCGTCTTCGTCACTTATCATGATAAAATGCAAATTTCCAGGAAAACTTGTCAACAGTTCCCCTTCAATTTTTCAGAGAATGCTCTTTGTTTTTTGATCCAAATTATACTTATTCAAGAAAAAGTAATCATTACTATCCTAAAAAAATGATAATCTATTGGAGGAATTCTGCAGCTCTCGAGTGTTCTTACGGCGTTTTACCGTAGCACGCTGCCGTCCTAAGGAAGATCACCGTATGGGCCGTCAGACGTTGCCCTAGTTTCTTCGATAAAAATCAAATTTAATGAGAAACTCGTGAATACTTTTCCGCCAAATGTTCAAACAATTTTGTTCGCACTTTAATCTATAATATATTAAAATTTCAAGGAAAAATGTGCGTAACTTTCTTAAAAATTGTAGATCTTATCCAGGAAAATTTGGCAACTCTCGAATGTTCATACGGCGTTCTTCCTTAGCACGGCAGCACGGCAGTCGTTGAATTCGGCTCGGAATTGAAACTTCATCCAGTATCGTGGCTTGAATTGCGATATATCGATTGTTATGTCATTTAAACCTATGGTAAAGAATCGATTATTAAGGCGTTCGCTGCGAACACCCTGTTTATCGATCCTTTTCCATAGGTTTTAATAGCATAACAATCGATATATTGCAAAGCACGCCACGCCACTACTTCATACTTCATCGAGTGGTGGAACGCGGACAGCGCGCGCGAGAGCAAGACGCGAAGGAAGAACGCCGTATTAACATACGAGAGTTGCCAAGTTTCCCTGGATAAAACATGTATTTTTGACAACATTCATGTATATTTTTCCTTGAAATTATCAGTTACTTTAGATTAAATTGTGTACAAAATTGTCTGAAATTTTTGGAAAATAATATTCGCAATTTGCCCAGTAAATTTAGTTTTAATCGAAAGAAACCTGGCAACGTCTGGAGGCTCATACGGCGTTCTTCCTTAGCACGGCAGAAGGGGATATTGTCCGACGATGTACGGATGCTTGAACCTGCGTTGCTAGGTAAAAGCAGGTTGAGATTTTAGAAAGTTGTAAAAAGAACTTGAAAAAATTGATTTTAGAGTGGCCAAAGTCACAAAGCAGGGAAAAGCTGGGACAACCAGGGGGTAAATTGGTCCGAGAAAACCAGGCTAAGTTCGGGAAAAATTGACGTTTTTTCATCTGTCGCATTTTCTATAGAAAAAAAAGCTCTTGAAAAG